TAATATTGTTATAAAGAATAATTTTAACTAAAATTTGTAAATTATTTGTTTAAAAAAAAATTTTGTTTAGTACTTCTTTGATATTATAATTAATAATTTTATTATTTATTGCTATAAATTTAAAATAAGTTTTAAAATAATAATAAAAAAATAGAATATATATTTTAAATTAGTAAATATGTTGTTTAGTTGAATAAATTTTTGTTTAAATTGATTAGTTAAGCTATAAAAAATCTTTAAAAAGATAAAAGTATATAGAATATAGTATAAAAAGATTTAAAGATGAATATATATATATATTATTAAATAAATATATTATTAAATAAATATAATATTAAAAGATTAATTAAAGTAATGAGAAATTAGTTTGTAGCTATTATAAGTTGTTTTTGGATTAAGAATTTTACATTTTTCTATATTGGTATAAGTGTTTATATAATGTATTACTGTTTTAATAATATAGTTTATTTAGTCTTAAATAAATTAGATAGTTAGTAATTTAGATTTTTAAAGAATTAGCTTTTTATATTTATAATTAGTTATTATTGTTATTTGTTATTTGATATAGTTGTAAATTTTTTGTTTATTAATATTACTAAATTGTTTTTTGTAATATACAAAAATTTTTAAAATAAAAGATAGTATTTCTAGTATAGTAGTTAAATTGTTATTTTTCAAATAACAGTTCTAATATTTAAATTCTATTTATAAAAAAATTTGAAAATTAATCTGTATTATAATAACTATTTTCTATTAATTAGTTGGATTTATAAATCTGTAATCTTAGATGTATCAAATCAAATTCTATTTGTTATTGAAAGCTAAAAGCATTTATAAAAATATATATATAAAGAAATATTACTAACTAATGTTATATAAAACTTTAATACAAATCTATAATAAGACTTCTAGGTATAAAAAACTAAGAAACTAAGAAGCCAAAAACCCACTTAAAAATTTCTAAATAAAAAGATAGCATAGACTTTTAACAGTATTATTGAACTAATTGAAGTTTACAAAACACCTTTATAAAAATAAGCAAATAAACTAAATAATAAAATATATAGAGAAGCATATTATCAACCAGGTTGCTAAAATTACTAAAGGAAAAGAATACTAAGATATACCATATTAGATTATTTGAATTAAAAATTTAAGAAGTCTATTAGTTCAAAGTTGTAATTAGTAGAAGATAATAAAGAAGATATTAAAAAAATAAGGTTTAAATAAAACATCTAAGCAGAAGTGTTAGGTATAACAACTGGTAAGGAATTTTTTTTAAATAGACTCTTTAAATAGGTAATATAGAAAAGTTATATATGTAACTAGTTGCACACTCTTTCTGTAATAATTTTTAAGAAACTATATTATCAAAAAGTATTAATAAAGTCAAAAGACCAAAAAGGTCACTTTAATACCAAAAAATAAATAAATAAATAAATTATAAGTACAGCATCTAATGTAAAACTCTAGAGTAAATTATTTAAATAGGCAACCAAAAGTTGCATGTATAACTAGCTGTACTTTCATTTCTGTAAAATAGTTGTAATAACTAATTCTAACATATGTTAATAAAATAACTATTACAAAATATAATCTTTTTATTTTTTAAAAAAAAGCAAAATTAGCATTAGTTATAACAATAAATAATGTGTTTATTATTTTATTACTATTTTTTTAAGTTGAAAAACTGTCTTTAAGTGAAGTATAACTAGACAAAGTAAATCCTAAAGACACCCAAAATATTCAAAGTTTTGTTAACAAAATGTCTTTTGTATTATTATGAATGACAATTACATTTTTTTTAAAAAAATTTACTATGTTAAAACATAAAAGTGCTTTAAGCTGTATAAATTCAACTGTATAAAATTAACCAATCACAAAGAAAGTTATTCTACAGTAAAGAAAGTGTGCCCTTCGCTACGGACAATTAGACTGTAATAATCGACAAATCAAATTGATCATCCCGGATCAGCCCAACGAAGCAAAACAAACCGAAAAAAGAGAAAAGTGTAAAATATATAGAAAACGGCAATCTAAACCTATCTTGGAGCATTAATTAAATGTGTCGGCAAAGCAATTTTACATGTAAACCCATTTTTTTTAACCTTAACCCAATTCTTTAAAATTCATTAAGTGTTGATGGGGTACTCTCTGTTTTCGAATCCGGGTAAGTTATTGGTTTTGGCATAATCGGTATATAAATTACATAAAATCAATTTATATTACATATAAATTGATATATACGTATACGTTTCGTACAAACTAACTAAACAACTAATAATATTGAAAGTATCGACGTTTATAATGCTAAAATTATCAGTAGAACAAGTATAACGCTGGTATATAAAGTATAGTAATGCAGCCAAAACTTTTGTAATGTAAATGCAATAATCATATACCAGTTTCTGGATTTAGAATTTCCTAGTTACATTGAGGTTAAGGCTAGGGCAAGGTTGTGAATGGGCAATAGACAAGACTATAGACTCAATAGACAATCTAATGGTCTTATAATGTTTAATCAAGCCATTAGACAGTCAAATAAATATATAGTTTAAAGTAAGCTGATTGGTTAATTTTAGGTATCATAATCTAGATAATATAAGTGCTAAATTAATTATTAGACAATTATTCAGTAGATATAGAGATGGGGTTTCTCCAAAAATCCTGCGAGTGATCGCATTCTTCAAAATCCCGTGGATCCCGCGCGTGATCGCATCCCGCACGGGATTCATTTACAACATGTACATATGTACATATGTATAATTTCATAATATGTTATGCCGAAATAATACCGTATTTTAGCATAATACTCTTACTTTCATTTTAGTATAAAAGGACTAGGTGTAATGTACGGTATATAATGTAAAGTATCTTTATTTTAATTAGATTGATTAAATATAAATTGGCAATATTAGTAATAGTTTTAAAATTAATATCTCTCTTAAAATAGTACCCTCTTCCGATCATATCTCCTAGTATAGTAACTGGGTATAAATAAATATATTATATCTTGTGGTTATTATTCCGCAAAATACGGAACTTAACTGGATCGACCAAAAATTCATTCAGCAAATTTTTTATCAGAAATTATAAAAACAGATCTACTTGTAGCAATATTCGCAAATTTCAGCTGGTCTTCAGATATCACCAATAAAAATCAATTATTATTTGATCATGTGATATGAAGCGATAAAACTATCGATAATTTCATAAAAGTTGATGCATTATGTTATCCTTACTTTGTAGAAATTTGGTACGTACCTTATATATTATTTTATATATGTTGTAAGTAGAAAAAAGTGGGTATGTGTGTTATAAGATAAAATCAACCTCGAAATACTGGTTTATATAAAATTCCGAATCCATTTAAATTCGTTTCAACTTACAACATATATAAAAGTTGATGTTTTATGTGGTTCTTAACTAAATTTGACACTTTTCAGATAGCGGATATCTTTTGCTGTCCCGTGCTGTATCGGTTCTGACAACCAATTTTGCTCACTATCAATAATACACTCACCTCCGAATGATAAAGATTCAAATGATAAAGATCAATTAAGAAGCATATAATGGGTGTACAAGGGTTATTTCATTTCATTACTTTAAAAGTTATACGCATGCAAGTCCGGTCACTATGTGTGTAGTTCTGTGTAAATAATATCGGTAAATAAAAAAACCCCTCAATTGTTCGAAAATCGTTTAAGAAATCTAGTCAGATTTGACTTTTTTTTTTTTTTTTTAGTTTACACTCGAAAATAATCGGATATGAAGCTTTTAATGTTAATGAGTTTGATTATGACGGTAGCGAGATGTAATCTAAAGTTTCCGATGTACATTATTCACTCTATGGTGAATGAAAGCCATTTTCCAGAAAAGACAAAATTTGGTCAGCATTAGCTATAATGCTGGCCAAATTAGGTAGCATTCTTAAATTGACACATGATTGAGCTGTGCCAATTTTTTGATATATTTATACATGTGTATAGTACGTAGTGGTAGTGAGGATATTAATCGGTCTCACAGTAATTATTAACAGATTTTTAGAAAATTGATATTTTTATCTAGTATTCTTCAATAACTTTACTTCTTAAACAAATACTGGTTAAAAATATAATTTTTTTTACAAATCTTGCTCAAATCAGCTGACAATTACTGCGGGACCAATTAGCATCCCTACTAGTACGTAGAGCATCAGCAATTTTTAAAATCAATGATCAACTCGTTGTTTAATTTAAAAGAATAAACAATGTATGCACATGCACCCGAAAATACCGTTCTTCCGAATCCCATTCCGCTTATCACTGAAGTTAAAAAATAATTATCTTAATATATATCTAGATGTCTAACAAGTTAGTTAAATAACATATTGTACATTGTATTTTAATATTTTATACATTGCAATTTCAATGCCTTTTTAGATTGTTAATCACCTAGATTTATTGTTTTTTTTATAACTTCAGTAATAGACTATTACTTGAATGTAACGGTAACTATAATTTTTACAATATATTTTCGTTATAAAGATATGTATAGAATTTGTGTTATACTTAAACTTAATAAATAATTGACAAAAGTAATAATTTTGCTATATTTGTACATGAGCGACAACTAAATTAATCGAACTAGTCTCAATTCTGCAATTAGTTGAGTTGATTAGTTGAGTTGATTATCGATTAGTTGATTAGTTGTCAATTAGTTGAGTTGATTAGTTGAGTATTAGTTGAGTTGATTAGTTGAGTTGATTAGTTGAGTATTAGTTGAGTATTAGTTGAGTATTAGTTGACGCATTTATATACATTTTACAATAATCGCATTAAATAATAATTCAATAGATCGATACAAGAAAAATCCCTATATAAATCTTTGCCTTCAGACTTTAGTTCTTTCAAAGCTTTAGCTTTTTTCCTCGATCCTCTTAACTTTTTTATTTATTTGCAAGCTTCATTATAGTATTTGGCCTTTGTTTTTACACCACAAAGCGAAAGGTATTTTAAATCATGCTACGTACTAATGCGACCTCAGCATGTATAACTTGTAAAGAGAGGCATGAAAGATGTTTAAGACCTTCCGAGGGACAAATTTGCACAAATTGTAAAAAATACAACCGTAACTGTATTCCCGTTCCAGGACGCAAACGTGGACCAAAGCCACGCAGATTTAGACCTAGGCCGGCCAATTTCCAACCTTTTCCCAGTATCAACCCTTATAGAACTACTGAAACATTTCAAAATCCATACGTTAATCAATCCCTCCCCTCATATTACTCTTTCGTTCACGACGAATCAATGCCATACCACGAACGAAATAACACATTACCTCCTAACACTTTTTCTACCAGCTATTCCACCGATTTCTTTTTCAGAGCTCCTCTCAATGTTAATCCTTATGAGATTACCCAAACATTTCAAAATGCATTCATTAACGACCAAAATTCTTTTCCTAGTTATTTAAACGATTCCTTCGAAATTTCACTCCCTTATAATAATGTTATTAATACACCTCTCAACATTAACCCTTTTGAGATTACTGATACATTCCGAAATACTTCCATCAATCAATCCCCCTCATTATCGTCGTCCTCCTTCTCTTTTATTCACGATGAAGAACCAAATAATGAACCAAATATCACATTATCCTCTTTTATTCACGATGGACAAGAGTCAAATAATGAACCAGATATCACATTATCCTCTTTTATTCACGATGAACAAGAACCAAATAACGAACGAAATAGCACGTTACCCCCTTTTATTCATGATGAACAAGAGCCAAATAACGAACCAAACATCACATTATCCTCTCTTATTCATGATAACCAAGAGCCAAATAACGAACCAAATATCACATCACCCTCTAATTCTTTCTCTACTGGCTGTTCAAACGATTCCCTCTTTTTTGAAACTCAACATTTTCATAATGATACTATCAATACTACTCTCGACATTAACCCTTATACGTTCATTTATCAATCACCCTCATTATCATCACCCCTTTTCATTCACGATGAACCAGAACCAAATAACGAATAAAATATTATACGTAATACACTCTTTTATTCACAAAGCCGTATAATAGAAAAAACCTCAACCCTTGTTTTTTTTTTTACTGGTGATTCAAATGGTTCATCCTCTTAATATTTTTGATCTTAAATCTGATAATACTACCGAAATATTCCTTGAAAATGTGAATATTTATTCAAATAATTATTACATTTCTTATCAGATAACACGGTATTTTGCTACTAATTATTCACAATTTTATATACATTACATTAACCCTTATGGAACTATTAAACCATTCCAAAATACATTTATTGACCAACTCTTCTCATATCCACGATGAATTGATTCTAACCATATTTAATTGGACTCTATATTATTACAATCATTATTACTACTTCCTCGTTAATCTTGTCACAAAGAACCAATGATCCTTCGACCATTTGTCTACCTCAAGACGTCACAAACATCACAAACATCACAAACATATGCAACATTTGCGCCATCCGATATATTCCCTTTTCAATTTAAATTTTTTTTTGTTATATAGATTCCCTTTTAAATTTACTTTTTTTTTTGTTATATACATATTTTTTCATATTTTTATTTATTTCTTTTTTTTATTATAAATATTTTTTTATTAAGAACACTTTTTTGTTACATTTTTTTTTATTATAAATATTCTCTGGTGATATGATTATATGTTAAGTTAAACTTATGTCTATATGCTATAGTAAAAATAAAAGGTACTATATCAAGGTTGTGACTATATTAAGAGCGACTATACCGAGTTATTACTTCGTCATAAATTAATCTCAGAACAATTTTATATACTATATAGCATTAAGTTTTTTTTCGTTACATGATTTGTGTAAACTTTATATTTTACATATGAAAATTTTAGAACTAACTTCTCGATTAGAACGTTTCTTTTAAAAAGCGTAACTAATCAGCTTTAAACATGCAAAAAAATAAAAGGTTACTAACCAAATTAAAAACTTTTATATGATGCATAAATTTCGTTTTTAAATGTTTTATTAATAAAAAAAAAAAAGATCATTCTGGTAAATTATTGTAGAGTGCGTATATACTAAATTCTTCATATGATTAAATGCTTCACATTTTTAAATGTTTCGTATGATTAAAATGCTTCATATGATTAAACACATGCTATTTGTTCTTGAAAATATGTGTACAGCGCGCGAAACTTGAAGACTACATTCGTCTCATTTTGTCCATTTTAGAACTGCAAAAATGTGTTGAAAAAGTTGATTTTCAATTATAATATTTCTGTTTATCACGTAATACAACCAATCATATATCACCAAAAGAACAAGGAAGTTAACATAACAGTAACACGATTTGTCACATGTAAAAATTTTCATTCTGAGTCAAAAGATTGTCGCACTTAAAGTTTATTTGGTCAGTTATATTTTAGTTTCTTTCGGAATTAGGCCATTTGTGTATCCATAGTTTGTGAATGGCCGGATTTTTATCTGGTCCATATTCTAATAGGTCGCCGTCATTATATATTAGTAATAGTTGAATTGTTGGTGATCTTCCTAATAGATTGTATACTCGATTTTGTTCCATTTGTTGAGAATATTCTTAAATATTTAGGTTCTTTTGTTTGTTTAATTTTCTTTTATATTTTCATTAGGAATTTGTTATATTCTATTAAATTGGTATATTCTTTCTTTTTTAGTTTGAAGTGGCAATCTTGCCTGTATGTCTTTTATTAGTAACATATGTATATACAAAATCTATCAACAAAAGTACAACTAGCCACATGATAACTTTAGTCATTATCTAATTAAGGGTTCCATCCATAGGTTACCCCACTAGATGTCATACCTAAGACCTGCCTGTGAGTTCTCTATTTAAACTTTTTGATTTTCAATACTTGTTTACATATATATGCAATACTAACATTACTATTATAGTAACATATTAGATTAAGGTTATCTAATTATTATTTATATCAAAGTATTATCTTATTGGATATTACTAAGTATTTATAGTCTTTCAAATTTATCTTCAATGCAAACTTATTAAATATGGTACTAAGATTACTTTTTAGATTTATTCAATTTAATATATATTATGTTTATTAAAACCAGTTTAATATTAGAGGTATTTAAATTTTAGTAAGTTTATTCCTTTCTCATAACTTTCTTTTATATTTATTATATCACTCACTAGTATACTCTTTCTTTATTTCTAATATGTTCATTGTTTTTCTTGCATCAAGTGTTAACTTTCCATATTAGAAAACTTTTTTCTGAGAATTTTTTTATATACTGATTTTTTATTTGCATAGACTTTAGTTATAAAGTTTTATATACATTTATATACTTTCATAGATTACAGAGTTTTTGTCTCTAGTTAGAATTGAATCATTAATCTTGTTTGTAAAAAGTAAGACATCTAGACTACTAAACTACAGAATTCTAATAACTTGCTATATTCTTTTTTTAAATTTTTTAAAAATTTAAATATATCTTTTGAAGATAATAATAATTAATAATTGTTTATAACTTTAAACTATAACAAATACTATAGAACCAAATTAGCAATTATAGATTATTTTGGTATTATATATAACCCAACAGAATATTATATATTTATATCAATATTTTTATATTTTAAATTGTTGAACTTTTTTGTAAATATAAGAAACTATTTGTTAATTTTTATATTCTTCTTCTAAATTATAATTTTGTAATATTTATAGTAAAAATATTATAGTTTCTTTATATAATACTATAAAAAAAGTAACTAAATTAATAATTTTTTCTAAATAAATTTTTTAAGCTTAATTAATTTAAAATTAGTTTAAAATATTTTATTTAAAAAAAATGTTGTATTAATAAAATTTTATAGTATAAACTTTTAACTTTTGTATTTTTTAAATTTTTTTTTTTTTTTTAAAGTAATCTCTTTGGTCTTTTGACTTTTATTAATTACTTATCGATATTGTGATTTAATGAACCATTACAGAAGAGTGTACAATTGGCTACATGTGTAACTTTTTTATATTACCTATTTAAGAAGTTCACCTGAAGGTTCTTTACCAATTGTCATACCTAACACCTCTGCTTGGGTGTTCCACTTTAAACTCTCTGAATCTGTAACCTGTGTTAACATTACTGGTCATCTCAGATGTTCAGATCATCATCCTCAATCTTAGAACTAATTTATTCTTGAGATAAACCCTTCAGAGCCTTCTGTACCTATTTTTACAGCTGATCTAAGTATTGCTATGGCAGAACTAACACTTGTGATCAGGGCTAACCATTAAACTACTATGCCCTTGTAGAGTTCACTTAGATCTAAACATCTAATTCACAGCATAATCCTGGTACTTTAGTATACCTCTGCCTTTTCCCCTGTCCTTTTACCAAACTTCTAATTCAGATAGCCCATATAGACTACAACCAGTCCATCAGTATATTAGATCAGCCCAATATTCTTTTCCTTTAGTTTATTCTGGCAGCCTAGTTAGTAGTACTTCTAAGACTTCCAACTTAGAGGTTCTTGCTCATCTGGCTACTAGAACCAGATACTAGACTTGAATATCCATTTTGCCAGACTAGCCTTTACAGTAGGGCCATCAAAGATCCAGCTACCTCTCTACTTAGATCTTTCCAAATGAACTTCTTGTTACCCAATTTCAACAGATTTATATGGCCACAAGGACTTATTTAGTATTTGCACCATCTGATTTGTTGATTTGCATTTTTTTGTATAACTCCAACATTGCACAGATGCCCTATGACCTGCCAGTCATGCTGGTGCGACTGCTATTACAGGTATCCTAACACAATCATTAGTAACAGTTGCCATAATACAAATATTACATAGGTGATTATCCAAATTTTTGCTGTCGATGGAATTTGAACACCCAACCACTTGAAGAGTTAACAACCTAACCATTTCACTAGGTTACTACATCTTATTTTTAAATTTTTATAAAATTTATTTTTTATTATTATTATATATTTTTTGTTATGCTCTGTTTTATTATATAGTTTAGTATTGTATATATTATTTTAAATTTTCTTTAACAATAGATTATAAAAAAGTTTTTATATTAATAGTGAAATTAACTTTTTAATTCTATTTTATTTTTTGCTTTTTATTAAGCTATATATTGTAATAATTTTTAATTATCTTTTGCAAAAAAACTTAGTATATATTTTTTTATTTTTTGTGATATTTTAATTTTTTTAAGTATTTATTTAAAACATTTTAGTAAAATTAAATTAAATTTTGTTTTTATATTCTATAAAAGTACCTATATTTTTATTTTTTTTAAGTTTTTTTATTATTATTATATTTAGAATATATACTAATTGCTCTGTTAAATTGTTTGACAAACTTGCATAATTTAAATTTTTAAGTATTTTATTTTTTGTTAATATATTGGTTAGCCTTTTTATTATTACTTTTGTAATTACTTTTTTAAATATTTTAATTAGTTTAATATTATTTAAACTATATTATTATTCAATATTCTTTATAATTAAATATATATATATTTATATTATATTTTACTTGTTTGATATATATTTTTTATTTCTAGACAAAAATTAGCAAAAACTTTAAAAATTTCTTGTATTTTTTTTTGTATATTTAAATAATTTATAACTTATATTTAATATACTTAAAATTATATTTACTTTAAGTTTTTTTATTTTACTGTATTATGTATTATTATTTATTTTTTTAAAAATAAAATATATATAAATTATTTTATTATATACTTTGCATATTGATTAAAATTTTTATAAAAAATTTAAAAATATTATTAATAAAACTTTATAATTATATTTAGTTTTTATTAAAATTTTATAATATATATATTAAAATATATTTTTTTATAAAGAAGTATAATAATCTAGCAAGACAAAAAAAACTCTTCCCTGTAGATCCCTCGACCAAAAACTCTAGGAAAGAAAACATAGAAAAACTCAGTAACTAGACT